GGTTGTAATGAAACCACACAGAACGGAAAGAAGTTACTGGAACTTTTAGGAAATAGCGACTGTGCCTCGCACAGTTCTGTTGATATCTTAGTAATTTAGTAAGTGTTCAAATTTCAATGTTGGATTTGATTTAGACAGTGATCATAACATCTCGATCCCCATCATAATAAAGCTATATGAAAACCAAAATTTAATTATAAAAGAAAACAATTTGGGTAGAATATGCAAAATTGTTAGATCTATTATTACGAGATTCAACAATAAAAATTGGCCGATAAATCTTCAGATATTGATGACCTGGCAAACAATTACTGAGTGCTTTACTAAAGCTGCAGAACAGACCATACCAAAACAGGAACAGTACATAGCTCATAATAAATGGCAACCACACGCACAAATTATAAACATGATAAAAGAACGTCGCCACCTAAGAAGACAATATATGAATATTAGAGATCCGAACATCAAAATTCATATTGTTACACCAAGGAACAAAATTTTAAATGAAATCAAGCAACTAAAAAGAAATTTGGAACACTTTTTACTCACAATTAAACGAACATACAAACCAAAAGAAATTTTGGACACACGTGGAACGACTCACTAACAATCAAAACACCTACAAAACACGACTCACAGTTCTAGTAAAAAAACGAACAAAGATCGGATATTTTCAAAGAGCAATTAAGGAAAACTTTTAAATGCATAATGAACCAGATATGAATACACACAATTTTAACACAGTAAATGAGTATATTAAACAAAATAAACACATCTACACACCAAATTTCCCAGCTGTTTCAATTAATCTTCAAAATTCACAAATAAGTAATAATGATGATGCAAGCCAAATCACAAACAGAATAACAAAAACAGAAGTAATTACATCTATAAAACACACAAAAAACAAAGCTTCAGGTGAGACAAGCCATTCTACTCAAAAAGGGTACTCAGAAATTGTTTGCCCATCTAACAGCATTATTCAATTTATTCCTAAAACTCTGGTTGTATCCCAGCCTCTTGGAAGCAAGCAAATGTTCTCATGTTCTTAAAGGAAGGAAAACCAACAAATAAACCAGGAAGCTACCAACCAATTAGTTTGACTAGTTGTATAGGCAAAATTTTAGAAATAATAATTAGTAATAGGTTCTCCACTTTTCTGGAGATTTCATCAAAATTACCTGAAGTTCAAAACGGTTTCAGAACATATCATTTAGTTAGATTAACTGAAACTGTAATAGATAGTTTTAACCAAAAGAAATGCACTGTTGTCTGCTTTTTCGATATAGAGAAACCATTCAACACTGTATGGCACAATGGATTAAGATATAGAACGAAACAAATGGATTTACCAACAGGTGTTATTCACTAGTTGTCCAACTTTTTCTATAATCGAAAATGTCGAGTGAACACGGAAGGCACCTGTCGGAGTATTTTACTCGCGAGGCGGGTGTTCCCCAGGAAGGGGTAGTTATCCCCTTTATTTTCATCATGCACGTAAGCTATATGCCATTAGAAGATCCTAATATTAGTCTAACATCACAATTCGCAGACGATGTGGCGATAAAGAAGAATTACACGACCTCTTTGATTGCAGCTACAAACTTACAGACAGTTTTAAATCAAACAGTCGAGTATTGCCAAAAGCACAAAATAAGAATAAATGTTTCAAAACTAACCTAGTTCTATTTTCAAAATCAAGAAAAACGCTTAGAAACCTTCCCGAAATATACTTGCACGGAACTTTTTGACACGTCATCACATCAGCAAAACTTCTTGGGGCAATGTACGATTCAAAATTAACTTCTAAATACCATATTAATCAAATCAGAAAAAAGCAATGAGCAAACTATACGAAGAGATTGACTGGTAAAACACACAGGAGTAACACCAGAAAATATCATTAAAATTCATAAACAATACATACGACCTGTATTAGAATACGCCTGTCCTGCTTGTACTAATGTAGCACAAACACATATTAAGAAATTACAGACTACACAAAGTGTAGTAATCACCACAGCTTTCAGAGCACTCACAACAACAATCATAAAATTCGTGCATAAATACAAATATAAAACCAATCCGCGACAGACTCATAGATAGCAAGTTAAAATATTTTGATAAAAATGTATATAAAAACGATTCACTAACCTCAATAGATCGTTATATCATAAATTAATATAGTGTTAATTAAGTACCTCTCTCCACTCAATATGTACCAAAAGAAAAGATCCACCTGCAATAAACTATTGTTACGTCTCCGTTTCTTA